TGATAATTTTATCAATTTTTTGTAAAGCGATTAAAATTTATATTTAACTTTTAAAAATTCGATTACTGCGAGCGAATATTGAAAGTAAATTGCTTTAAAAGATTTTACAAAAATTTATCTTTTTCTACGAAGCATGCTGTAATTTGTAGAGGTCGTTAGTTTCCTGACAATAAAAACTTTTAAGACTGATAGTTGCTGCAACTTGTAGAGGGCACAAGTTTCTGATAACAGAGAGTTTTTCATATTTCCTGCAATTTGTAGAGGATGTAAGTTTTGATCAGAGAAATTTTTTAAATTTAGTACTATTGCTGTAATTTGTAGAGGACGTTAGGTTTTAGTTGAATTAAAATTTTTCTTTGAACCTAGCTTCGAAGAATTTTAACGGAAGTCAAAAACAGAATGTATTCTCTGGTTTTTTTTTCTTTTGTTATTGATAAATTAATACTCATAGTGCACGAGCAAGGGTCGTTGATATTGGCTGAACTAAGAGCGATTATAGTTGAACATAAAGCGAGTTTTCAGAGATAGTATCATAATTTATGGTGATAACTTGAAATTTTTTTCGAAGGTGATGTGAGCGGATCGAGTTGTGCTCGTTAGGAGAAGACTGTCATCAACAACTCTATTTTTGAGCTTTCATTTTTGAAATATCATTTTCTGTATGTTTGATTTTTGTATATAAGTGCTTCTGCACCCCAATCAGTGATCTCCACTCAATGCTCGATTCCATTTTACTATCATAATTATACAATCTATTCAAAATTAAAAACAGCTGATGGCATTTATAGTAACAATGATGTGTGGCGGACCCTATAAATTGTAGTCCATTAAGAATTAAAAAAGCACTACTATATTTCAGCGCACTCTATAAATTTCAACTCATTAAATTGAAATAGTGAAACTCGACATCTAGTGAACTCTATAAATTGCAGTAATTACAAAGAAAAGAAGCTCTATTGTAGTTTAGCACTCCCTACAAATTACAGGTCATTAAAGTGAAATAATAAATTTCAATCTTTAGCTACTTCTATAAATTTCAGCAAATTTAAAAATATAACTGAAATTTTTATTTGTTTTAAAATTGTTATCAGTAAATTTTTTGAAATTAGAAAACCGAAAATTTAAAACGTAAAATTATTTTAAATTTGAATAAATTAAATTTAAAAAACAACTGAAATTGAATTTAACAGATTTTTAATTTCGATTTTATGTTCGCATATGAGAGGACACGCACACCCAGACACCCACAACAACAACGTTGAAATGTCGATAATTTTCATTGGTTTGATTCAATGTCGATAATGTGTGTGATTTTCTGCTATTTGTTGGAAAAAAAATATTAGACAAAAATCTCAACTTGAAGAAGGAAAAATTTTTTGATTTTTCGAGGATGTGGGTGTGCGTCTGAATGAGGGCCTTGTCTTCATCGTAACACACAAATCTAATCCGAAATCTATACATCTATACCATTGAGTCTAATGAGGCACCTCGTGCCGCACTTTAATATGTGACACAAAGTGTTGCAAAATGCCACAGTTGCGAGACATATTGATTTAGTGTGTGCTTTCCTTTCTTTTTTTGAGATGCTGTGTGAAAGTATATGTTTATTGCAGAATAAAAAAAAAGAGCTTTGACTCCTTTTTGTGCTGAGTTATTTCACGGAGATCTTCTGTCTACCTATTATATTTTTTGAAGTAATGATGTTGCTTTAACTTCTCTCCTTTTTTGCCAGCATTGTAGTGTGGTGCTTGATTTGGATTCGAATCGTTGTAATCTACTGCATTATCCAGTCGAATTGAAATTTCTTCATCGTAATCGTTCTTAAATTCATACTGATAACAGAATTTCCCGGGATTATTTCGATCGGGAATTTTCTGTGGTTGCCCATTGTTTATCGGCTGTTTGGAAGTTGGTATTCCATTTGCAAATTTTGCTTTTTGAAATGCTTCACTTTCATATTCACTATGGGTATCTTGCTTGTCGTTGTAAGACATTAGATGCCGAAAATTTGTAAACTATAGTATTCTTGAAATATTAACGGTGGTAGGAGAGTTTCTTCGAGTGTTATATATAGAGAGAATGATGAAGTGAGTAAGAAAAGTGAAAATAAGTTTGTTTTTTTCTTTCCAGAGAACGTGGGTGAGTAAATATGTGTTTTAGCACAACAGGGAGCACGTTTTTCTTTTTTTACTCTCGGTTATTTCATTTTCAGATAGAGAGTGCGCAGATGTAGATATGGACGAAGCCCTTGTCTTAATCTTAACACGCAAACATATATTCCACTGTCTTATTCGGTCATACTCTTGGATATTTAGCGATGTGAGTGAGAATGTCTATGTTCGTGATCAATTGAGCGTCATGAAGGTGATAATATAGGGTACACTCATGACCACACACATATTATCCCTTATGTTTCATTGCCCATAACTATATCGAATTTGATCATCAAAGCCATAAAGTTTTTTTCCAAATCTCAGTTTGATGCAAGAAATCGAATGATCGAAAACATGGATATATTGATGCGGACTATAAATGGACTTTCTTGATGCACCAGTAAGTGCTCTCTGAAGAAATCATTTTATAAATTGAGAAAAATTGCACGTCTAAAACAACGATGTGAGCGAAACGTTCTTATCATTTATTTTGTGACACTTCAGTGTGTAAAAATGATTTTGTTCTATTCTTACTTTACTTCACCATCTGTTTCGAGAACGAGAGGGCCGGATAGCGTCGATGGCGCTAAATCCAGCATCTGCAACACGAACAAACGAAAAATTTGGTGTGCGTGTGGATCTCAGAATGTTCTTGTTACACAACCACACCCATCCAGCACTTCTTCGTCTAAGGCATATTGAGGTAGTAATTAAAATCAAATAAAAATAAATGCGAAAACCTCGGATTTAAATCCGAGTGTTATGTGTACTTCAAAAAGTGAAAAGGTATATTCACTGTGTTTTTTATCACTAAATTGCAAGGAGAAAATACAGGCGTGCTAAGTTAGCATGGACCATACTGTATGCGACCCTAGCCGGTGACCACTGACTCTACTCTCACAGTGATATAATATCTTTNGATGTAAATGAAAATAACCTCTACCACAGTTCATAAAACTAGAAGCATGTTGCCAGGAGAGAACTTATAATGATACGATAAGAATGCATTTACACTAGTTGATGTTGCTGACGACATACAGGTGAAGTCGATATAGATTGTGTGAACATAAATCGAGCATTCAATTCGTCCATACCATCAAAATGCAATACAAAGAAAAAATCTTTATTCCATCATTCTAAAAAAAGTAATCATGTGTACAAACATTTCATCATTCGTTACGATTTTATAACAATGTATTTTCAGCGAGAAACTCTCTGAAATGATTCATTTTGAGTCGAATGTTTTAATCAAAGATTGAAGTTGTACAGAAATCTTTGTCTCGAATTCAAGATTATGAATAATACTCTCAGAATTTCAACTGACTCAAGAGTAAACAATAATTGTTTGCAGTATTAATGAAACAACAAGTTCGTATTATAATACTTTACGGTAGGCTTGTGGAATTTGCATCAGATAGAATTAGAGTATACGGAAAGCTCAATTCAGTAGCGGATCTAGGATTTTTGAGTATGTTATATATCAATTTCAGAACATGGGATCCTGCTCTCTGAAACTAAAGTATAGCATACTCAAAAATTCTAGATCTGCTACTGGGATTAATTAAGTAGAATACTCACATTCAAAGCACACCACTATGAGATTGACTATACATAAATTCTTTCTCTTTATATTTTTTGGTGCATTTCCGGCTTTGAAGAAAAAAAAATGTAAATCAATACACGAAGAGAGTGACGCTGAATCGGCAAATATTGATCATGTCATAGCAACGTCTTTGGCGTTTTTCTATACAAGAAACTTGCCAATTATGTGGAAAATGCAGAAAATGACATTAAAATAAAGCTGTCGATACATTAGAAAACCTTCTTATAGTTGAGATTTTTATTTTCTGGCATCCTTAAGTTTTGTATTTTTATATACAAAACTATAAACATCGAAAATTAACTCATGAATCATATTGAAATCGAAAAAAATTAACGCTTTTAACTAAATTAGAATCAATTTAACGTGACGTAACTCAGTAAATCTCATTTACAACAGATTTTTAACGCATTTTCACGATAAAAAAATGTAATAATCTTTTTGCTGTAAATATGCTTTTTTTTAATTTTTATATAGTAAAGAGAAGTTGAAAATTATTTCTGAACACAACAAATGTGCATCATTACATATGAATGGAACAGGAGCGAGAACATAAAACCGAAATAAACGAAGGTGGGTGTGAGCTTGACTGTTTTTATGTTTTCTAAAAGTCAAAAGTGTCTTAGCAATCGTTGTTGACCCTATAAAACATGAATACCCCTCAATCCTTACTATTTCTCATTGTTCTTTATGTAATAGTTTTGAAATTACACAAAAATTGCACCGATGACGAAATCGTCAAGTAGATTTTTTCAGTAATATAGTCTACACTAATGCCCTCTTTCATTACATATTGAAATAAAATCTGTCGTAGACAGCCGTCACTAAACAACAACGCTGCGTCGTACAATATGTTATGTTCGCCGTCCGATGCTCGTTCTGTACAGATGAATGACTAATCTAACGGTTGTTCTGTTCTGTTCGATATCTAGCGTATGATTTGTTATTCGCTGCAGCTTGACGTCACGCGCGAACAAAAATTTTGGAAATATGACTACGAAAGGAAGAGGGAGAGAGAGAAAGCAAGAAGAGATGTATAAATAGTCTGGTATTTTGCTTTAGGACACTTAATTGTTGCTTTAGTTATAAAACAAGCGATTGAATTTAACGACATCGTGGAACTATGACGAGCAAGTATGAACAAGTAGAGCTAGCAAAATTAGCAGAACAAGCCGAACGGTACAGCCTCTGTTTGTATAATGAATTTCAAATGGTAAGATAAATTTTCATTTAGATATACTGATATGATGGCTGCTATGAAAAAGGTTGCTGAATCAAATAATGAATTAACGATTGAAGAACGTAATTTATTCTCAGTTGCCTACAAAAACGTGATTGGTACGTATCGAGTACCATGGCGAACTATATCGGCCATTGAACTGAAAGACCAAGACTCCGAACATAAGCAACAAATGGTTAAGAAATATCGCAAAAAGATCGAAAATGAAATGAAAGATGTTTGTCAAGAGCTTTTGGTAAGACTTTCTCATTGTTTTATGCTACAAAGATGTATAAATGTAGACTCTACTTGATAAACATCTGATTCAAAAAGCAACAACAGCTGAATCGAAGATATTCTATTTAAAGATGAAAGGTGATTATTATCGATATTTAGCTGAAATAACCATGGGCGATGAACGACAAAGTAATTTATTGAATTCTACTTGAAAACAAATTTCTATCAATATATTTTATAGAAATGGCTGAAGGATCACAGCATGCATACGATGATGCCTTCGATTTGGCTAAAAATCAATTACCAGTAACACATCCTATCCGACTTGGTCTTGTGCTTAATTTTTCTGTCTTCTACTACGAGATTCTCAATAAACCGGACATAGCTTTGCGCTTAGCCAAACAGGTTTTTGTTCGACTCTATGCATTCTTTGTTTTTCAAGCGAAAGTTTATTTTCTAGACATTTGATGATGCTTTGGCCGAACTAGATTCGATCGATGAACATTCTTACAGAGGTAGGAGAAGCAAAACTCATTGATTGATAATTGAGAACAAAACTAATTTTTCATTCCTCATCTTTTAGACAGCCAACTTATCTTGCAACTGCTCCGAGACAATATCACTGTATGTTATTTTCTTTTTATTGATGAATTCATACGTATATGAATTTTGTAGCTATGGACTAGTGATGAACCTGAAATCGATAATACGAATCAACCTGATGAAGATCAGTAACTGTACGGCATATACTATTCATTTCTTTTCTTGTACCATTTTTTTTTATTCATAACGATGATCTCGTGTGTTGTAACAAAAAAATAAAGAAATTTTAAAAAAGAAAAAAAGCTGTTAGTGCAATCTATGCAGCATTAAAATATTCTCGAAGTCAATGAATCCATAATCGTAAAGGTTTTATAGGTATATATTGATCATTCGTGACAAAATCTTAGTTTTATGAAGGGTGTGGGTGTGGGGGAATAAAATAAAAGACATGACCAATACCCACACGCAGACTCAAGTAAAAAAAATGAAAATATTTTAATGCAGCTTCATCCAAAGATGAAATTTTTCTGAGGCTATCGCAGAAGTTACAGGAAATGATAGAGCAAATCATGTCACATAGAACTTGAAACATTCTTCTGGCTAACAGACTACACTAATCGACGATCTTGTCTGTTTCTTTCCAGATTCTTGTTTTTCTTGACTTTCAGACAAGATTCCTGTATTCAGGCAAGATTCTTTTCCACAGGAAAGTAAAAAGAATCCTGCCTGATTGATCAGAAATAAAAGAATCAGGCAAGAATCTTGTCTGTTATTCAAGATCAGAAGCATCTTGTCAGAAAATTATGAAAAAACAGAAGCTGGAAAGAAATATAAGATATTTTAAATTTCTTTGTGTTCAGAGAAGATTCTTTTCTATAGGAAGAAAAAGATTCTTGGCAGCTTTCCAAGAAAAACCAACACGTGATGTCTTTGTGTGTTAGAATATATAAAAGAAACGTTGGAATATTATTTGTTCATTTTATTGATGTGCAAACTATAGTATAATTTCACTCTGAGTATGTACCTTTGCTAGAATTGTCATTTTATTCGAACGACATCTGATAGCTCTTCGTTTCGATTGGATATAGAGATAACAATGAATTATACAATAGCGATTTTTTTCCAAAGAATTACATTTTTATTGAACGTATTTCGATATTCTGCTAATCAATATCTTTCTCTTTATTTCATTTTATAGATCGTCTTGCAGCATTTATATTTTTTTCTGCATGAAGAAAATTCCGATAATTTGTTCAACTTTTTTTGCTGGACGATGCTGTTAATAAATTAGGTAAGCTCAATATGTACTTAGTTTCTTCTTTTTGGCTCATATGTCATCTTTTTTTAGAACCATCGTTACATACAGGTAAACAACGACGAGTGTAGGGTGTGGGTGTGACGAAAAGATTACTCACACCCACACCCACACCCACAACCACATCCACACCCACACTCCACACCCACACCCCCACACACCCACACCCACACCCTCAATGATGATTGATTGATTCATCTTTATTATTCTTAATCAAATTAGGAAGAACTAAATATTCAATGGATAGTCACAAGACACTGAATACGAATTTTATATGATATACTTTTTCTTCCTTTTATCTTTCGATGTTTGAATTTTTCATTCAGAAAAACAAAATGATATGCTTCGTTCGGGAATCGAACCCAAGACATGATAGCTGGTTAACCGG